TATCTATCTATCTATCTATCTATCTATCTATCTATCTATCTATCTATCTATCTATTAAGCGTACTTTCACAAAAAATTTAATTGTTTTACTTTTGAAAGATTGTCACGCTGTATCACGACTCACTCCGTAATTTTATAGTGTAAGTTTTGAAATAGGCTAACTAACGAATGCCACGTCTCTTGAATTTTGTCGATTTTTGTTTGTTTGCTTATTTATGCGTTTGTTTGTTGGGGGTATAAAACATCATATAAAAATCCTCGTTATTCCTAAATAATTTGAGGAAATTTACCTCAGGCGGCAGCCTGTCCGTCCAGCAAGTGAAAACAAACAAATCTGCTTCCTTTCACTTCTTTTCACTGTCTTTGCACCACATGGACCGAACTAAACGGAAGCAAACAAAGAATGGTTTATTAGTAGAAGAACCTGAACAAATGAGTGAGAGGCTAAAAGACTTTTATTTTCAGATCATCTAAGCAAGGAAATGAGTGGTGACCTACGATCGCCCATGTCTGTTTCAGATCTGGCTCTTCAAGGAGATAAAGAAAAGGCAACAGCTTCCTACATTTAGATGCTTTTGGGGGGGGGGGGGGGGGGTAGCCTCTAGCTTTTCTGTCTTTCAAAGCATAAAGTGAACAAAAATCGGGAAGACCCTTTTAATTAGTCTCAGTGCTTTGTAATGATGGGGAATTCTGGTGATAGTTTAGTTTTAGTTAGAGGTATACGCACTTGCAACATAATAATTGTGGTCATACTAGCTGGACCCCCTTTCGATGAAAGAAATGATCGGTGTATTAACATCAACTGGAAGTCATTGGCCTACTATATTTACACTCTACTGGAATGGAGCAATAAATTTTGAGAGATGCGAAAAATGTGAAGGTCTAGATATAGATTCTAGAGATGTGTAGGCTGATTCTGTATTCCGCTTTCGTGGTTGTACACTCCAGAATTTCAAAGGAGTGGAATCAGCAGTCCACACGGCTAGTGAACGGAAATCTCACTTCTTTATAATGGCGTCTATCCTAGAAGACGGACTTTCCCAAGATTAGATCTAAACGAAACTAATGAAACACCGAAAATTAAACTACAGTGACTTCAGGCCCCTCAATAAAACTGTGCACCCTTTAAATGATTTTTGAACCACCGTTAATATCAAATTCGAAAGTTAAGTAGTTCGGAAGTTTAAGGCGCCAAAGTGACGAACTTTCACAAAATGTATATATAATATGTATAGATAGATAAGTGCAGAACGAAGAGGTTATAAGTAAAACTATAGGTCTTCGCTGTGACGTCACGAGTGTCAAACTTGAGGGGCGCACCACCATTCCGTAGAGGAATAAAAGGCCAGTCTGTGCACAGTAGCACTTATCAATCACGAATTAATGGTACTCTGTGAAGCCTTTTGATGTTGTTGTTTTTTTTCATGCGATTTGTCTATCGCTAAAATGTACTGAAAGGGATTTTTTGGATTGTTTACCTTTAAATGAGCCAGATAATCTCCAAATAATGCAGACTGGGTCTTTTGCACGGTGAGACCATAATATAGGTGAGTAAAATTCAGTAACAAATGAATACTTGATGATCCCTTGTTAAAACAAAAAAAAATATAATTTTATTGAAATCTTTTGCTGTGCGTCGCTCAAACAGTTTGTCTAGATTTGGCACCGCTGACAACAAGGCTCTCGTATCGGCCCTCTAGGATCAGGAATGTGACTGAGAAGCTGCTAGAAGCTTCAGCTGCAATTCTAGAACACCTTCAAGGCTGGCTGAGCGGAAAAGCACCACTGCCGATGTTGTTGAGATGAGAGAATATAAATTAGTCAACCAGCGTAACTACCCACCAATGAGACCGGTGTAATATATTCTGTCTCATTTGCGGAACCGATGCCAAACAGCATGTGCAACAGCAGCAGCAGAGCTTCATGGTAGATGAGATGTTGTGTAGCCAAACACCATTGCCAATCAACGCCATTTTTATAAAATATTGTGAATGTTTAAGGTAAACCGGCTATTTATCTAAGTGTTGCATTTTAAAATGTCAATATATCATTATTTATGCCCGATACTAAACAACGCTATTTAGGTGTACGCACAGGATCCATACAATGAGAGATTTACAGTATCCCAACCTACAATTAATTTGTAGCTTGAAGAGACACACACACACACATGTAAGTTGTTGCAAGTCATACATTCCACCCGAACAGCTTGGACGCTTTCACTGGACTGTTACTCATGAACTCAAATGCGACGTACTACACATAACAACAACACACCTCAACAATTTGGTCTTCAGTTTAGTCACCACACACCTCCCCAATCACAGACGTCACATGAGATCATTGGTAGCGTGCGGGTGGACGCACATGACGTCCAGCACGTGACATGAGTTGTCTGTGGTGAACCGCCTCTGTTACTTGCTCCCGCCCGTCGGTGTTCCTAAGGGTAGGCTTTGGTTCCCGCAACACCGGAGGGCGGCTGCATCGTGCTGGTTGCTGTAGATGGACTGGTTGGGCAGGGTCTACCTGTACAGGCTTGAGGCGATCTACTGAAATGCGTTCCGTGCGGCCTCCGATGTCCAGAAGGAAGGTCTTTTCTCCTGGGGCGAGAACCATGTAAGGACCTTTGTATGGTCTTTGATGTGAACTTTTCACTGTTGTTGAGCGGATGTAAACATACTTCGCTGTTAACAAAGATGGTTGGAAGTATGTGACTGGGTCACAGTGCTGGATAGCCGGTCTAGGCCTAGTGAACTGTACTTTAGCTCGAAAAGCTGTTAAAAAATCTGTTGCTGACCAGGCAGATGCTTCAGAGGGTAAAGGATCACCTGGAACAATCAGCAGCTCGCCATAGACCAGTTCTGCTGATGAATATCCCAGGTCATCCTTGGGAGCGGTTCGTAGCCCAAGGAGTACCCAAGGGGTTCTTCCACCCAGTTGTTACCAGTGAGTCTGGCCTTCAATGCTGTTTTAAGAGAGCAATGAAACCGTTCGATCATTTCATTTGCTTGGGGGTGAAAAGCCATTGTTCTATGTAAGCGGACTCCAAGGCGTTGACCTATGTCAGTCCAAATTGCAGAGGCGAATTGAGATCCTCGGCTCAATGATGTATCGGCAGGAACACCAAAACGGGAGATCCAGCTTCCTTTGAGAGCACTAACACATTCGTCTGTTGTTATGTTAGACATAGGGATCGCCTCTGGCCATCGTGTGTTGCGGTCAATAATGGTTAAAAGATACCGTTGACCACAGACTGAGGAAGTGGACCCACTATATCAATATTGATGGGTGAAAACCGCTTTTCGGGTACTCTAAATGTCTCTAGGGGAGCACGGGTGTGTTTCAGGATTTTCGACGTCTGGCATTCGTGACACTGTTTCACCCAACTACTGACCTGACGTCGTAGGCCATGCCACACAAACTTTTCTGAGATGAGCTTGACAGTAGCCTTAACCCCTGGGCGTGCAAGATTGTGTACAGACTCAAATACCTGGCGTCTGAATTCTGGAGGAACAACGGGCGAGGTCTTTCAGTTGAAATGTCGCTAAGGACTTCAGGACCTTCGTCGCTCAACTTCGTTTCAACGACTTTTATGTTTGTGAAAGCTGAAGTGTACGCCTGTATATCAGCTGTACTTGACAGCTGAGCTGCTGCTAAGTCTGCAAAATCTGTGCCCAGTGAGACTGGGTGATAATCGTGAGAGATAATCGGCAACAATCTTTGTCTTCCCAGATTTGTGCCTGATGGCAGTGCTGCATTCTGAGATAGCAGATAGCTGCCTTTGCTGCCGGGCTGACCACAAGTCTGTAGTTTTTGACATTGCAGATACCAACGGTTTGTGATCGGGGTAGATAATAAATTGCCTACCTTCCACTATGTACCAGAAATGGCGTATTGCAAGGTGGACACATAAAAGCTCTCTATCAAAGGTGCTGTATTTCATTTCTGGCTTACGTAGTTGCCGGTTGAAAAAGGCGAGAGGCTCCCAACGATTATTCTTTATTCCTCGAGAACTGCACCGACGGCCACATCAGATGGATCACAAGTGAGAGCGATTGGGCAGTCTGCGTACGGATGAACCAGAATGGATGCGTTTGCTAAGGCGTGTTTACCCGAAAGGAATGCCTGGTACTTTCATCGGTGCAACGTAGAGCTTGACTAGGTTTCTCTGTTTTCAGAGCGTGGTAAAGTGGGTGCAAAATCGCAGCGATGTTGGGAATGATACGATGGTAAAAATTCAGTACACCCAGAAACTCCTGCGGCGCTTTGACTGTACTTGGCTTAGGAAACTCCTTAACGGCATCAACCCTAGAGGGCATAGGTGTTGAACCTGACGCAGAAACCCAATGTCCTAGAAAATCTAGTGATGCAATCCCAAAAAGACATTTTTCCAGTTTAATCACCAATCCATGGTGTCGCAACCGCTGAAAAACTGCGTTGCGTCCGTCGACGTGAGACTGGGCTGATGAACTAGCAGCTAGGATATCGTCCCGATATACAAACGCACAATCTAAGTCTTGAAGCACTGTGTCCATCAGTCACTGAAATGTTTGTGCTACATTCTTTAACCCGAATGGCATCCTCAAGAATTCCCACAAACCGAAGGGTATGATCACTGCCGTTTTAGGTACGACCTCGGGCGCCATGGGGATCTGATGATATCCTCGAACAAGATGAATTTAAGAGAAAATGATCTTGCCAGTTAGACGAGCAGAAAAGTCCTGAAAATGGGGTATGGGGTATCGATCTGGGACTGTAGCATCGTCCAACTTGCGGTAATCTCGACATGGGCCGGAACCTCCGTCGTTTTTAGGCACAGCATGCAGAGGCTATGCCCAGGAGCTGTTTGATTTCCGCATTATGCCCATTTTCTCCATCTCAAGGAACTGCTTCTTTGCAGACGCGAGTTTGTCTGGTGGCAGGCGAGGAGCACGAGCAATAACAGGTCAATCTTTGGCGGGAATAAAGTGTTGCTCACCATGCTTGACATCTGCTGTTGAAAAAGTAGGCTTTAAGAGTTCGGGACACTCGTTGAGAATCTTGCAGAATCTATTGCTTGATGGTTGTATCTGGGCCAGTTGAAATGGAACAGACCGAGCAAGAGATATGCGAGAAAGTTTCTGCCTCAATTAGACGATGTCCTCGAACATCAACTAATACATTGTGCTGCCGGAGGAAATCAGCCCCAGTAAAGGTCGCTTAACATTGACTGATATCAAACGTGCTTTAAACACACGGTCACCGAAATGAAGAGGAATAACTTTGGATCCATAGGTCGCTATGGTTGTTCCGTTGGCTGCTTGCAAGGGTGGACCTGTCGCACCTGACGTTCCTTCAGCCCATGACCCTGGTGTCACAGAGACCTGGGCACCTGTGTCTATCAAGAAACGTTGTTTAGACTTAATGTCGGTGACAAACAGCTGAGTTGCTTTACAATCTGTCTTCGGTGTCGTAAGAGGTGTGTTGTTGTAGAGCAACTTTTTACGGACCAACAGTCAGATCAATCTCCATTCATTCCTTTGCTCGGATGCTCTTAAAAAATCTACGTTTCCTGGATTTTCCCCGTTACCCATTTGTTTAGGTTCCATAAGTAGGTTGCTCAGAGCCTACCCCTGCCTCGTTTGCCTTCGATTTTGCCAGTAAGAACTAGATGTTCAAGCCCTTTACGTGTATGTCTATTCAAGTGTTCCAAAAACTGCATTTGTTGTTTCCTTATTGTTGTTTAACAATGACCGTCCCACGTGGGTCTCATCAAGCACTACCTTATTTGATTTCTTTTCCTTCCGCGATCTTCTCAGCAGTCTCCTAAGAAACCATATTTATGTTGCATCTATTTTATTTTCACTGTCTTTAGTGATTGTCCAGCATTCACAGCTATATAGAAGGGTTGACCATACATAGCATTTCAGAACTTTCATTTTGGTAATCTTTGAGATGTTTCTATTTTTCATGATTGGGCTCATCCATATTTATTGAAACTAGCCTTAGCCATTGCAATTCTCCGTTTTATTTCTGTGCAACATTTGGCATCAGATGTTATTATAATTCTTAGATATTTAACTTGTTGGACTTGTTTGTTCTTTTGGCCTTTGCTAATGCGATTACAAATAGGATTTGTTGCTTTTTTTTGGATATTACCCTGCATTCTGTTTTCTTTACATTCAACAATAATCCTTTACGTTCACTCTCTGTTACAACAGTATCTGGAAGCGATTGAAGGTCCTTTTCTGAGTCTGCTATTAAAATTGTGTCATCGGCATGTCTGATGTTATTAATATTTTCGCCATTCACTTTGAGACCTGTGGACATTCTTCTTCTATGTTTCTAAGAATTGTTTTGTTCTATATGTTAAATAGGTCTGGTGACAAACACATTATTGCCTCACTCCTCTTCTAATCTGCTTATATTCACTGTATTCTCCATGAATTCGTACAGCAGCGTTTTGGTACAAATTCCTGATAATTCTTAAATCTTGTCCATCTATGTCTAGCCTTTTCAGTGTTTTAAATACCTCATCATGTCTAACTTTATCGAACGCCTCTAAATGACAAGAGAGCAACAAACACAAAAAAGAAAGGGGAATTAAGTCGATAGATGTTTGATAGGAAAGAAGGAGCAGACCTTGTCAGAGCCCCCCCCCCTTCCAAACCATCCACAATTTGGATACAGTTAAGAGTAACTTTGAGCCCCCTTTCGGAACTTACTTGACCTACAACGCACATCTGGGATCTCCACTCTCTGTGGCACCACTTCTGGTCGCTGTGACGTCATAAGCTGAGACACGTTTATCTTCTGAGAATTTTTTTTGGGGGTGTCGAATTTTTTTTAATTTTTTTTGGTAATGATACTATTGAACCTCACTGTGTACAGTATTCAGCTTTTAAGCTGAATTTGAGTAATGAAAGGCTCATCAACAATCAACACAAATTATTGTTTCTATTGTAACTGTCTTATTATACCCCCCCCCCTCCCCAAAAAAAAAAAATTAAATAAATAAATAAATAAAAATCCACACCATTTTTATTTATATCATTTAGGGGGTTGGCTGCTTCGGCTCTGTCAGGGCCAAACTGGATTAAGTGAGAGGCGGCATCCCAGCTGGTAAACAGAGATGGTTTATCACTCACTCCTGTAGAGTGGCTGCGCAATACTTAGTTTCTAAACTTTGGGATCATATCTGCAAAATCTGTCAAATTTACTGTCATTCGAGCAACAGAACAGGGCTAGAGAACAGGACAGCAGGTGAAAGAAGAAACATTTAAAGAAGATGTATGCTTGTCGTCGCTTTCAGGTTTCGATCCTGGTACCTTTTAAAGGAGAGGCCAACACTGTAGGCTACCTACTCTAGGCCACAAAAGAGTCCCCCCCC